ATTTGAATCCACGCCACGGCCTCTGGTTGAGAGGCGGTAGGTCAAAGCATTAGGCTACCACGGCATTGTATTTTATGACGTGATTATAATAGCCATATTAATCGTATTATTATTACCAAATTAATTTATTAAATTAATTGGCAGTCACAATTCTCTGAATTTAAATAATATTAAGTACTGTAACATTATCCTACTATTAAAAAAGAAAGAGATGGCATTATACAGTTCTTATACCGTTATTTCTTTCCTATTTTTTATTAAGGAATATGCAATATTGGGAAATCATTCGTTCTTTCAGTCACTTTAACAATAATGCATTACTTGGTTGATAGGTTTGTCATAGTACGAACATGAGTAATATTATAAGCTTACATTGAAATAAGATTGTTTTTTTAAACGTTATGGTAGGCTCCCAGTTGTTGGCGCTGTACTATTTCAGCTTTCTAATTTGTGTTTTCAGCGCAAACGAGAGTTCATATTTAAAAGTGATTAGTATCTTTTGGACTGATGAGATGCCAGGGATGGAAGGCCCTTATTTCGTCTCTATTTCTGGTTATATACTCGAGGGTTTTAATCGAACAAGTTTCGGACAAGTAATACTTCCGTTACATCGGAATTTTGATTAACTTCCATAATTAGTTCAGTTAAATTAATATGTCAATCGCATCGCGCCGCGTTCGGTGTATAAAATGTGTATAAATCTCGTATTAAAAAAAGGTATTTGAATAGCATCGACAATTTTGAATTGACCTATTGACTAACATCGTAAAATTCGTTTCGATTTCATATAATTGCATAATATTGACAAGTTAGAGCGGTTACCCATGGCGAATCGATGTTTGTATCGGTCCCAAAAACCGCCATGTGTAACCGCTCTTAACCGATATTACATTATAGGAGAACTACATATACATATTACAAGACATTTAAGCGTCATAATATAATATATTCGTTACAAGTCTGAGTAAATAGGCACTGTGCATCAGGCTACCTTCAAACAAACGTTAAAGAAATGTTCGACTAATTTAGCAATCTCATTTTAACGTTTTAATTGCCTAGTAGTGGTGATAGGTCCTTTATTAGGATTATATGTGCGTATATTGTATATATGATTATACAATACGAGTTGGAGAATATTATAATAACATGTAATGTAACATTTTGTGCATACCTTATACATTGGTCTACCTTCTCCAAATATACACCCTTCACCACTGTTGCCTAGTGTAACAGATGCATTATTTTCAAATAATTTTATATATACTCGTACTATGCAGCCGTACGTCCACAAAATGCAGATATTTAAAATTCACTAAGGGGTTAAAGTCGACATAATTCTCAAAAATTGTCTATAACTAATGAATAGTAAATAAATAATTTAAATAAATTATTATTATAGAACAACTATCTTTGTTCGTAACTTTTATTTAAATCAACAAATCTTTGTACACTATTTACAGGCAAAATCAAACTAATTCAGCACCAAACTGCGCTTACTGTAGCAATCTCACTCAAACAATAAAACCTTTTTTATAATATTTTTTTTTAATATAAAACGACATTTTTGTAACTAAAACAATAAAAATAATAATTCTTAATTCAAGTTAAAAATAAATAAGTAGTCTGGCTAAAATACGTCTTACACAAAATATAATTTGTTTATGTACCGTAAAATAAAACAAAATCCTGACCACGAGATCTTAAGTAAAAAAAAAATTGTTGTAAAAAACATAATTTCTTTCTTTGCTTACTTGTTTATTTACTCTCTGCCCAAGGTTCATAGATACACAGGTTAATTTGTAAAAGGATTATGTCATAGTCATGTCCATAAAAAGTCGCGCTGGTCTGGTTTAACGATGATACCCTTCCTCTCCTTACTAACTGCCTTATCTTATAATAATAAATAATAATAAATAACGCACACACTCAACATAGCCCCGCACTAGGGAAACCCTGTGTCGCGGGTGCCATGGACACACACATAGACAACCACAAATTACACCCAAACTCACGAGAGAAATAAATGTAGGCCATACAAACATTTCTCCCGGCCCGGGAATCGAACCTAGGACCTCTGCGTGGCAGTCCGGCATGGTAACCGTTCGGCCACGGAGGCAGTTAAATATAGTTCTTATAGTCTTCTTGTGCAAGAAGAAGACATACGATGTTACTCAATTTTCCAACTCTATTCTACCTAGAAGCAGTAGAGCTCCTTGTGAAAGAGTTCGTCCAGGGAAATACTGCCACCTTACCTATTTCTGCCACCAAGCAGCAATGTTAGCATTACTGCGTTCCACTTTTGAAGGGTAAGGGTGCTGGCGAAATTACAGGCACAAGGGACATGTCAACTTATATCGCAGGGTATAGGGCGCAGTGACAGAGCCCCTCAGGTCTTTGCGGTTTAAAGGTCTGAGTGGCACAGCAATTGTTATAGACAGGCGTGAGCTTACCATCAGGCGCACGACTTGTTCGTCTCGTAATATTATGTTACAAAAAAAAGGAACCTTTTTTGTACTATGACTATAACTCATCGATAGAACGAGATTGACTCGAGCCAAGATGTGAAGTACTAAAACGTAAGTTTGACTTTAAAAACGCTGTGGTCTTCTTCTATTTGCTCCGGTGCCCTTTTAAATTTCGCCAGTATCCTGTTTACCGTTTAGTAATTTAGTACAGGCTTCTGCAGGTTCTACTAAATGCTATATTCGGATTCTTAATCAGGGATAATATAATAATAATAATAACGCACACACTCAACATAGCCCCGCACTAGGCAAACCCTGTGTCGCGGGTGCCATGGACACGCACATAGATAACTACAAATTACACCCAAACTCACGAGAGAAATAAATATAGTAATAATTCCTCCCGGCCCGGGAATCGAACCCGGGACCTCTGCGTGGCAGTCCGGCATGGTAACCGTTCGGCCACAGAGGCAGTTTGAGGGATAATAAACAGACGTTTAGTGGGATAGTGTTGTCTTAAAGGATGGACTTCACTGATTCACTCAGAGTCATGAAGGTAAATTGTATAATGTGCCAGACAACTACACCAAATGCATGGTCTCAAACTAGGGAATTCCATGTACTTTGAGTACCAGAGCAACGGAACACCAACGGACCTGAATCAATTTAGAAAAGTTAATGCCCCAAATTCACCCTACCGGGAGTCGAACCCGCACCCGGGCCCTCCTCGCCCAGCATCCACAGTGCCAACTGTTGTGCCACCGAGGTCGTCATTGTAGTTATTACTTTACAAAAAAAAATTGACAGCGGAAAAATGATAAAGTATCTATTTAGCAGACTAATAGTCCAAAATCTTTAACGTTATTTTTTTTAACCGACTCTATTGTAGTGATTTCGTTGAAACACATCACTATACAATAAACATGGCAATACTATCTTTGAAAATGACGTTACAAGCTGTCAGTTATCTTTAAATAAAAATAGGACTATTTCGATACTGACACTGGCCCAAGCCTAGTTGGTAGCTGCTATTAAGAAAAAATAGTAAATACAACCTTAGTTACACGACATTTAGTCTGGAGAGGAACGATTTTAAAGGTCTTTTATTTAGTGAATTTGTAAACAGAAACCAAATACATTATAAACAACAGAACCTGTGTATTAACGGATATTGTGCACAAATTATTTCATTCTACTTTTATTTAGCCAGACGACGTATTGTTAAGCGTATGTGAAGCTATAACTATATACGAGTAGATACCACAAAAATGCTGCTAGATTCACGTAAATGTTAGTCACATACGTCCATAATAGGTACGTATTTTGTATTGCAATAATATTGTATAAGACAAGGGTAAAAATTAAAGCTGCCTTATTTTACATATAAGGAAAATTTCATAGTTGATGTATATTATTCTGAAAACATACATTATTCACCGCCAATATTCAGAAATAAATTGATTAATTAATTTAACAAATTTAAGGCTTCTTGTGAATTAGATTTAAAAAATCGACGTAAATTGATGGTCATATGTGAAAGAAATTGAAGTACGTTGAAGTATAAAATAGTTTCATGTATTCAGGAATTAGGAGTTCGAATGAAATGGCAATACTTGATTGTGACGTCACAGCTTCAACGACGCCATGCAAACTAAAATACATCCCTATTCGTCTTGCTAAAAAGGGACAGAGCATCCCCCAACAAATATGACGTCAACCATTACCTCTGGTGGTACAAGAGTACATTGAAGCAATACAATTTTTAAATCAAATACCGTATGATGTAACTTTAGCTTTAAACAATGAATTATAAGTTGTAAGTTATAAGGAACATTATTGGCCAAAAGGCATTATTGTACTAAGGGGTTTTAATTTGATATTATTCTAGAAGAACTTTATTGTTGCAGCGTAAGCTTCAGTATCGGTCATTAATGCAGTTAGATTAGTAACTTCTAATTATTTACTAACCAATTCAACTATTATATACAAATTTCAAAAGGATCATTTAGCAGGCGCGCTTCTAAACATAGTTTAAATCTATTTTAGATGCCGACTGATCAAACCCAATAAAATTCTGTAGACACCATCTAAAGACTAATTTTTAGGCCGTGGTGTGATAGTTTCTGGTCAAATTTTATAATTTAAAAATTACACTGGCTTAGAAACTCCTAATTTTCGACCAAAATAATTTCTTTTTATAGTCTGGAAAGCAATGACACTAGACCATGTTGTCTCGCCCTCTCATGCACGCTCGCTCCACAGCCGATAGAGACGACAACAATACTATCAAATAGCAAACGCGGCCCCGCGACCTGCTAAAACAATCCTCATAAGCCTGGTAGCTTGTGTGATTCTTCACTGACTATATTTTCCCTAAATTAATTTAATTACAAACAGATACATACAACTGAAATTCGAGCCCATTTACATATAACAGCCTTATTATATTTACTTTCAAAATATTATATTCGTGTAGTTCATAAGAACTAAAATTTGTACACTGTATCGTATGGGGTCACATCAGTGCTTTTTTTTCTTTGAGGCGGTTATAACACGCATTTTGTGTGCATTTCTTTTACTCGCACGCCATAGATTTATCTAATACGATTTCTATTCATATGAAATTTCACAAATAATGATAGCTGATATATATTACTATCTCTTTCATCTTTTACATTTCACAGCAATACAAAAGAGACAACAATATATTATGCGCAAATAATACATACATGAATTGTGACTCGACAATATTTAACGAACTTTTATAATTTTCAGTGCTTACAAACATAACCCTAAATCCTCAATACTAATTTGTCAACCGCCTCAACGAAACATTCATTTCAATATAATTCATCAAACTGACTATATAAATTCATTTTCAGATTAAAAATAAACCTTAAAACGCAACCGAAACAGAGCATTTTAGTAATAAAAATTGTCTTTAATTATATTAGCATCTACCAAAGCAGCAGCAGTTATCCGTTAGCAAATAAATTTCTAATAGTCAGTTCGACGTGCCTAAACTAAGTCTAGTAATAATACTATACCTGATTGAGATTACGTTAGCTTTGGGCAAGTGATATTGAGAGTGGAGCAAGCTCAACTGGCTTTGTTCTTCTTATCCTTTGCGTCTTCACCTTTTTGTGCTTCTGCATTTGATGGCCCAGCCTGAGGACTGCCTGGCTCTGGAAACATTTTAGTTGCATTTGTAATCGAAAAAAAATATTTTTTTTTTCACCTTTTATTCTACACGATGGTGGTATTAATTTCAACAAAAATCAAGAATTTGAAAACAGACAAATCAAAGAACTATGTAGAGACTAAAATAATGTAAAAGAAAAAAGAAAAATAACATTTAGGGTCGTACTCTAGAACTCTACTCAATGCTCAAGTCAGGATTGCACTGGAAACACAAGCACTGGAAATACGACTCTAATGGCAGGGACTTAAGTATGATTTCGAGTGTTTTAAACCATACTCAAATCCTGACTTGAGCATTGAGTAGGGTTCTAGAATACGACCCTAAGTGTTTATTCCTGACTGATTCTGTCTAAGTACGTTCATTGCGAACTGAACTAAAGACATCACTGTACAATTAACATGACAAATTCTTTTTCAAAGTGGCATTAATAGATGTGTCGTTTTTTTATTTCGACTGATTCTGTCTAAGTACGTTCATTGCGAACTGAACTAAAGACATCACTGTACAATTAACATGACAAATTCATTTTTCAAAGTGGCATTAGTAGATGTGTCGTTTTTTTATTTCGACACTTCAAAACATATTAACACATCTCTACACTGCCCTCCTTGTCATAACTAATGCATTTGCATTTCGGTAACTCTCGAGATATTGGCACCTAAAATTTTATTGGCACCTTAAATTAATATGCTTACCAAAAAACTGAAACTAAATAAGTTACAAAAAAACTGATTAGAAGAGGTTGATCTTGTTTCAATTATCCCAGATACGTTAATAACTCGATAAAAATGTCGATTACATTATTTATGATAAGGTAACTATACTACCCATAGTGTTATTTTTTTCAATGGGGCGGAATGGGGAAATCCGAAAATATAGAATTCAAGTCTTTTTACGTGAAAACAATTTTATCATACAAAATTAATAAAATTACCAATTTTTTTAATGCATAATTTAAGGTTTTTATTCTGAGTGTTCGATCTTTATATTAATAATTGTAACAAACTAATGAAGTAATGTCACAAAAAATAATTGAATAACAATTCAATAAAAATTTAAAATATGCTAAAATTGTATTCATAAAAAAAGACTTAATGATTCCTATGACAGTGTCCTTGTATCTTCTATGGTTTCGGATTTCCTCATACTGTACTGTACTGTACTAAAAAAACACTGTATATATTTTGCTGCCGTTAGTCGAAAATGATAAAAACTCAAAACCGAGAAAATAATGCTTAAAGAAATGAAATAAAAAAAATATCTACTTTTCGTTTGCGGTAACTTCATACCTTATCCACATAGGAAAAAATAAAAATAAAGACAGATCGACCTTTATTTACTGATCGCGACGGAACACATTTCTTTTTATAACATCAAGTGACGGGACGAACAACTCCTGGGCCTGATGGTAAGCCTCACGCCTTTCCACAACAGTTACAGTGCCACTCAAAGCTTTAAATTGCAAAGATCTGAGGGGCACTACCACTGCGCCCATCAGCTTGAGACATAAGTTGACAAGATCCATGTGCCTGTAATTTCACCAGCACCCTTACTTACCCTTCAAAATCGGAACACAGTAATGCTGACATTACTTGCTTGGCGGCAGAAATAGGTAAGGTCGCAGTACTACCCTGGACGAACTCTTTCACAAGGAGCTCTACTGCTACTAAAATAACATTAACATAGCTTTTTTTATGTCACAAGCGCCTTTTCAACCAACGGCGGCAGAATTGTATACGTCCTTTGCAAGATAACTCAACAGTCCTGTAACATCAAAATCCAAAATAAAAGCGTGTATTTTCTCGTACTCGTTGAATAACAAAATTATCGGAAGCCTCTACAATTTCTAAACAGAAAACTAGATACTGCCGAGATTGGTAAAGGGCACCGCCTGCCAATAAGCTAAAAAGAAAATGCCGGCTATAGTCACTATCAACAATTTACTTAAACAAAATCAACATTTAGGTACAATCAACTAATCTATTTTAAAATATCGTCTATATTTAAATATAATTATATCAACGGTTAAAGACTAATTAAAAATATAATTTAGACTAATTTGTGAAAAACGAGTGAAGGCCGGCTTCGTGTTGAACTGGAATGATGTAACATATTAATACAACCGCTTTCACTGCAACTGTTTCAGATTATCCATTTGTAAGTATATTTGTATACAACATTTATATTCAAATATCATCTATATTTAAATATAACTATATCAACGGTTAAAGACTTATTAAAAAGTATAATTTAGACTAATTTGCGAAAAACGAGTGAAGGCCGGCTTTGTGTTCAACTGGAATGACGTAACATATTATTATAACATGATTACAACTGCTTTCATTGCAACAGTTTCGGATTATCCATTTGTAAGTATATTTATATACAAACAATATACTTGTGTTTTACGAGTGAGACATAAGTTGACAAGTCTCATGTGCCTGTAAATTCACCAGGTACCCTTACCCTTCAAAACCAGAATACAGCAATGTTCACATTAATGCTTGCCGGCAGGAATAGGTAGGCTACCAAAATGTGAAATGCAATATTTTTATATAAGTAAATAGAAAATTCTTAACACGTCATTCTTTGTTCATATTTTCATGTTCTAGCAAACTTCGCGCGTAAAAAATTGAAATAAGCTGTATAAAACGTTACGAATAAATAATTCTATTCATTCAGCGGAATGTTGTATAAGTTCATCATGTTTGTATTTAGCACTGTATTATGGCATTGATGTAATAACTTGTGGTGGCAGCCCATTTCAGACGGTACGATTCCTTGTGACGGCATGAACTGAATGTAACTTTTACTTTTGTAAAAGTTTAGTAGAAATACCGTTTGCTAACGTTAAGGTAAACTGTTTGAAAGATAGAGAATGGTACCACTTAAGGATTAGCCACACATACCAGGGCCGTGACCGGGACGTGGACGGGACATGCTCGCTTATATGAAGCCCGGACACGGATATGTATGAACGAGGTCATACAAAATATACGTACAGATTTTTTTTAACCCCCTGACGGAGCACGGCCCGTTCACGTCCCAGACACGGCCCGTCCATGTCCCAGACACGGCCGTGATTGTGTGGTACTAACATTTAGCATTTGTGAGCAGGTTTCCAAATTCTCAAGTCACCATGTTCTCAGGTCACCACGCCCTCATTTCACCACGTCCTGAGCTTACCATAATAATATTCTTATTTCAACATTTTCTTTGCTCATCATATTACAAATATCTAGTCACTATCATAAACATCTTTTAAATTAAGCGATGAACGTTGTAGATTCCTGCAGCTTTATAGGGCCAGCATAGGTAGGTATACTTTGGCACTCATCTCAATCCTTTTATCAGTGAAACTTGACAATGCTTGTTGAAAACTTGGCAATTCGGTATAAGTACCGAACTTAAATTTTACAAAACTCTATAATTTCAAAACGTCACTTTCGCTCCTCTACTTCATCTGCCGTTATTCTCATTCTTCTTTTTTTTTCGTAATATCAAGTGACGGGACGAACAACTCCTGGGCCTGATGGTAAGCTACACGCCTGTCCATAACAGTTGCAGTGCCACTCAGAACCTTAAATTGTAAAGATCAGAGGGGCACTGCCACTGCGCCTGCCACCCTGAGACATAAGTGGACAAGTCCCATGTGCCTGTAATTTCACCAGCACCCTTAGCCTTCAAAATCGATCACAGTAGTGCTGATATTACTGCTTGGCGGCAGAAATAGGTAAGGTGGCAGTACTTCCCTTAAAGAACTCTTTCATAAGGAGCTCTACTGCTACAAAACGTTTCGTATGTTTATAGTTTATATAGCTGGTGGCCGCGATTTCGTATAGCCTACTATACTAATTTTCATTCTTTTATTGGTTCTCCATACGAAATTTCATCCCCTATTTGACTCCGTTTAAGATTTATTTTTTTGACAAAATGTGGCGTATGTCCTTTTCCTAGGTCCCATCTATTTCTGTACTAAAATTCATCAAGCCTGGTTCAGCAATTTAGGCGTGAAAACGTAACAGACAGAGTTACTTGCGTTTATAATATTAGTTTCGAAAATTTGGATTATATTGTGTGGTCTATTTAAGATATTATTGAACGACAGTATTTGGTGAAAATCTGCTGTAACAAATGATTATACATATACACACTAAGTATCAAGACGCGATTTAATTTAAGCCGCACCACTCACCATTAACACCACCAGCACCATTAACAAAAATATCGTTATGAGACTTGCATGTTCAAGAAAGTCACAAATATGGTGATGATGAAGACGTCATATTATGTTTGTGGACCAAATTTCAGCTTGATCAGACAAAGTAAAACAAGTTTTTTTTAAATTTAAGAACCCATTTTGAAAGACATACGAGTCCCAGCCGTTGCCAAAAAAAAACTTGTACCTAGTAAAAAAAAAGAAGAAAAGTAGTCTAGTTCAAAGCTAGATAGATAATCAATTAAAAATAGCAGAGCATGCTTGTCAAATATAAATATATGTATCTGCAAGTCAACGTTAGGTGCAGTATATTTACGATACGATCTGCATAATTAACTAGGATCTCACATAAACGGATATACAATGTTGTAGAGGATTATTAAGGCAAGCATTTATTAAGGCCCGGCGCCCACTGGTGGAACGGCACGGCAAGAACTTTTTAAGTTATTAACATAATATACCCCAATGTTGAAATTTCAACTATAAAGGTCGTAGCTACAAAAACCAATATGCGGTAATCTTAGAGATACCAAGCCGGCATCGACAGCCTCCGGATTGCCACGGCAGCCTTGGGGAAGCTTCGACTGGCTTCCGAAGGTTATTCACCTCAAATTTTCTCCATTTAATATGGTGCTTTTTTTCTTCTTCTTCAGCAAGACTACCATTTTTAAATACACAACTGGTAATAAAACAGCTTGCTACTATACGACTGATCTGGAAAGAGGCTAGGCGCAAGCACGATGTCGCGATAGCATGCTTCGGCA